CTTAGCCACAGAATCAGCAATGATACCATCACCTTAACCTTCTTAGCAGTGTTATGTCCTTAACAAAATTGTAAGCGCGGAGGGGTAGGGAAACATCTCCTATTGCTTTTAGTGCTTTCCAGCCGGTAAATACGATGATGCTGTGTAAAATGTGCACTGTGTAAAGGCGTGTGATTAAATTAGAAGATAGGGCTCTCAATAGTCCGGTTTTCCAAGATAATTTCTGTCTTGTTTCTGTTAAGTAATAAAGATACTATATTGACTGTTGATATATGGTATATTGTTGATATAACACAGTAATTTTATCAAATTACCATCTTTTTACTTTTTTTTAGGGAAACAATCCCAGGAATGAGCCTCCCCCTATGCCTTAATTTGAAGTGAGGTTATATTCCATGGGTAGGAAATTCCTGGTGATCTACTTTTTAATTATAATGAACTTACCTATTTTAATATTTAGTTTCAGCTTTATAGGAAAGTTGCAAAGATAATCAAAAGCATTCCTGTGGTATGTTACATTTGTCACAATTAATGAACCCATATTGATACATTATAATTAAATCCATACTTTCACTCAGAAGTGACCCAGTTTTAAAGCTTACTTTCCACAGTTTCTAAAGAAAATAGAAAACAAGATTGTGTATATCCATGGGTAGTGACTTCCTGATTCTTAAGAGAAACTAAATTATTTTGTAATGAGTGGGGCTTTACTAGGAAACAAGAGGCAATAATACGGGTTTAAAATTCAAGTAGGAGAGTTTGATTTATATATTTCATTTATAAGTTGGTTATTAATTAATATGGCAGGGTGGAGTTCGATCATGATTAAAGCTGTCTGCTGTTACCTGGAAAACATGTTCTAGTACCTCAGTTTGGCCTTCATAGATGATCTGTCCTGAGATCATTGAGCTGAGAGATTTCTCTGGAGTAGGAAAAGTGTCCTCTTGGGACCGAGTTGGGACTTCGTTTAAGACACAGAGTAAGTAGCCAGTGGCTGAGAAGCTAGCTAATTCCTACAATTTAAATTGATATAAATTTAGTCTAATTCTTTTTCCCAGGACTGTCCAATTTAAGATTAAATTCGTACTGGCGCCTATTAGAGATATAGTTATTTGCTATTTCAGTGGAACCTTTTAATCAGCTTAAGTGCCATCCTGGGTGAAGTCAAACCTTAATACTGTCTCTCTTTTAGAGCTCCTCTAGTTTGCCATCCTCAAAGCAGAAAAAGCAGCAACAAAGCAGCACTGCTTCTTATAGATTCTGCTTTTATTAAATTTGCTTCGATAATCCTCTTCCAGTCTTCTTTTGTACTGCATATTTGAACCATAAAGTAAATAAAAACGGTACCCAAATGAAAGTTTAAAATTATGTTAATGAAGCTCTGGAAACATCCCAAGCCTCAGAAGATACAGAATTTTTTTCCCCTAGTTTATTTTTCAAATTCTAGAAATAGGTCAGTAGAAATACCCTGCTTTAATTGGTTTAATTAGAAATGGAAAATTATAGGACTAACTCAATTTGAAGTATAGATTGAAATAATAATACTGGGATTAATATCATTTAAGGGTTTGAATCTAAATAAGATGCATTAAATCATAGCTTATGATTTCTTCTTTAAAAAGTTTTAAATAGCAAAGAGGAGGCCTATGTGTTGAATACATAAGTAAAAGGAAAAAGTTGTGTGGAGAAATAAAATATTTGACAAGAAAATCATTTTAAAATTGTATTTCTCCAGTGGTATGCCTAAGGGTAGTATTCTACAGGACCATGATATGCCTGGGGAGAAAAAAGTATTCTGTGGTCAAATAAGTTTGAGAAATAATAAATTAAATCTAAACATAGGGACCAGCAGTAGGCATGGTGGTTAAGGCGTTGGACACTCCCACATGGCTGACCAGGGTTCAAGTTGAATCTGGTGGCTTGCTTTCTCACTTCCTCTCTCTCTCTCACTCTCACCCCCTCTGTCTATCTTTGGTCAAATAAAAAAATAAATAAATAAATCTTACCAGTTGCTGGCAGGATTTCTCAGAGCCTTTAGTACTTTCTGCATTTCTAAGAATGGGCATCTGTAGGGTGCAGTCCTTCACAAACATATTTAACCCTAGAGCACCTAAAACATTTTTTGGTCAGGAAAGTGTTCTGAGTACATACATTCGACCCGTTTTAGGAGTTTATCTCTTTGAACATGTTGAGGACATTTTATTTTTTCAGTGATAGTGGTGATGCAATGCCCGGATGCCATTCACTCCCTATTATTTCCAAGCTGTTTTCCCGGTGTATAACATAAAGGTGTTACACCCAGCCCTCTGCTCGGCACCTTTCTCTGCTAACCAAAGAGGGGGTTTCCAAACATGGCTGCACAGGCCAGAGGTACCTGGCCCTGAGCCTGCAGATTCTGCACGAGTGAAAATGGCACAGTGCTCGGTGATCTCCATTTATTACAAACGCCACAGCGGTTCTGATGCAGCCCACACTGGTCCTCAGCTGGTGCTTTGGAACCGGTGAAACAAAAGCAACACCTTGTCTAGATGGGCAATTGGATTTGGATGCAGCCATTGAGAGTTTGTGGTCATAGAACACATCAGTTCACCATCCATTCTGAAGAGAAGTAGCACCGACCTCTAACCACTCCATGCAGTGATATGCTGACCATGACCTGCTGTAAAACTATTGCTTTCTCTTTCGATAAAAGCAGAATAGTCCCAAGTGGCCCTCTGGTCACCTTCCTGGTGAGGAAATATTTAAGATTACCATTTGTTTTTATTTAGAATAATTCCCTTATGGATGGTATTTTATTTATACTTTAAAAAGAAACATTAGATTGTATTTACTCATTGTGCCATCTAAGAATATATTCTTTCCCTTCTGCTGATAACAGGCAGACATTTGACCTGAAGAAGCAGCTAGAGAAAGATTCTGTCTCATTTGTGCTTCGATTTGTGTGAAAAATATTAACAGCATTTCTATGAAAACTCTATGGTTGTATATACTCTCTACGTAGTGAGACAACTCCATATTCCTGGAAGTTCTCTTTTATGTGCTACAAATATAGGTAGAAATGAACAATAGTCATGTGTGGAACAACGAGCTTTAATCTATCTGAGCTGAATTATGCTCTGTTAGCAGTCATATATGAAACACTAGACACACTTGTCACAAATAGAAAATTTCTACCTCTTAAAATTATTTTTCAAGATCTTGCCAATGCAGTGAGGCATGACACAAAATAAAAGATGTGATTATCGAAAACTATAGAGACTAAATTTTCATTATTTGCAAACAAAAGCGTATACATTGAAAACATAAAGTTAAAAAAAAAAATTAAGGGGGCCAGCAGTTGGTGTAATGACTATGTCTTTGGACTCCCATGTAGTTGACTGCAGTTCGAGTCCTGGACCCGGTGGCTTAAACATACCAGGCACATGTCTGTGCATCCTAAGATCCTGAGAGGAGAATGGAGGAGAAGGGATTGTGGTGTGGCCATCCCCCGGGGGGTGATTTCTCACTTTATCTCTCTCCATCTCTCTCTGTCTTTCTGGTGAGAACACGCACCCTATAGCAAATAAATAAATAAATAAGTTTAATAAGCTGATGAGATAATGAGAATATACAATATCCATAGTTCTTTTTATATGCAAACATGATTTGACATATGCCATCTTATTATTTTGTGTATTAATTGGTTGCTGAAATAATAACTGGAAAAGTGAAGTTTACATGATCAGATTAGGGAAACAGGAGAGAGCACAGTCATAAAAACTAAGGGAGAAGTTGTAAGGAGATCTGAACAACCAAGGTAAAGCTCCCAGTGATGCGGAGGAAAGCGAATCCTCTAGATGATACCAGTGGTCCAGAGTCTCTGACTTCCTTTGGCAGCACCGTGTCTGCAATGCAAATGAAAAGGAAGCCAGATCACAGTGGTTGAAGAATGAATGTAATATAAGACGCAGGACATGTATGTGAGTTTGATAGGAATGGAAGAAAAAGAGAATTGTTTCATTTTATTTATTTATTTATTTTTTAATTTGACAGAGAGAAAAAGGGAAAGTGAGTAAACAAGCTACCAGTAAGCTGATGAGATAATGAGAATATACAATATCCATAGTTCTTTTTATATGCAAACATGATTTGACATATGCCATCTTATTATTTTGTGTATTAATTGGTTGCTGAAATAATAACTGGAAAAGTGAAGTTTACATGATCAGATTAGGGAAACAGGAGAGAGCACAGTCATAAAAACTAAGGGAGAAGTTGTAAGGAGATCTGAACAACCAAGGTAAAGCTCCCAGTGATGCGGAGGAAAGCGAATCCTCTAGATGATACCAGTGGTCCAGAGTCTCTGACTTCCTTTGGCAGCACCGTGTCTGCAATGCAAATGAAAAGGAAGCCAGATCACAGTGGTTGAAGAATGAATGTAATATAAGACGCAGGACATGTATGTGAGTTTGATAGGAATGGAAGAAAAAGAGAATTGTTTCATTTTATTTATTTATTTATTTTTTAATTTGACAGAGAGAAAAAGGGAAAGTGAGTAAACAAGCTACCAGGTCCAGGACTCAAACCATGGATGGCCATCTGAGAGTCTAGCATCCCAGCCACCATGCCAACGGCCAGCACAAGAGAGTTTTCTAATGTGGCTGATGTTACTGTCATTTTGCTTATTTGTTTTCAGAACTGCTCGTTCCCTTCTTTTTGAGGATGGAAACTCCTCAAAGGGGAAGATCCCTGCTTCTGTAGCTCTGGGGTACATAGTAGCTGGGAATGTGGGAGGCCCTCGTTGGCTTTAAGTTTACTTCATGACTGTGAATGAAATTTTTAGAAGACTTGTTAGTGGGGAAGAGAGAGAGAACATTTCCGTGAGTTCTCATGTATTAAATAAGGTAGCCCTGGAAGCGGCGTGCTGTCCCTGTCCCATGAGTGTCACACTCTGCTCATGTCCCTGTGTCCTCATTAATGTCAGCCCCTTATTCACAAGGCTCCCTTGGGCTCTCTTACAGCTATGAAACCTACGTAGTCACAGACCACAGTGCTTCTCCTGGAGGACGGGTGATGAGGAGCGTCTGGCTGGGAACCTGAGGAACTGCTGAGGACGCGGAGCCCAGCCCTGACCACTAGAGAGGCCACAACACGATGAACAAACTGAACTTTCATAACAACAGAGTCATGCAAGACCGCCGGAGCGTGTGCATTTTCCTTCCCAACGACGAATCTCTGAACATCATCATAAATGTGAGTAGATCCACTTTTAGAAAGGTTAAATACTGGGGTCTCACCAGCGATCGTGTTCATGTTATAGCTTGGTAAAAGATTCACCAGTGACTGTTTATTTTTTAGCTCGGTAAAAGATAAAAATCTAAACAGAATAACATGGCAAATTTAGGGTTAAATATTCTCCAAGGGCATAAACGTAGCCGGATGGCTGAAGTACAACTGCCTGCAACATTCTCTTGCCTGGGGTGAAATTAGAGAATTTTGGTTACTATGTTAAAAAATAAACACTAGCTATTTTAAAGCTTTTTATTGAAATATAATTTTTTTTCTTCTTTCTTTTTTTTTTTTTTTTTTTTAAGGTTTTTGCTATAGGGTATGTGCACTCAACAGAAAGAGAGAGGAAAAATGAGAAATTACCCCCTGGAAGGATGGCCATGATGCAATCCCTTCTCCATTCTCCTTGTGAAATTTTGAGCATGCACACACAATGTGCTCAATGTGCTTTTCAAACCTCCAGGTCCAAAATTCGAGCCATGATGAGCCATGTGGGAGTCCAGTGCCTCAAGCACCATGCCACCTGCTGGCTCCTGAAATATTTCTATTGACGTATATGAATTTGTGTCTTAAATTCTGAAGAGTTATCACCTACATACATGACATGATAGTAATTGTTAGTGCTTTAATAATCATCTTGATGGTTTTAGTAGTAGTCAGAGTCTAGTCCGTTTCAAGAACTAGGTGCATAGGCCACGCATTTGAGCACTAAGCTGTTGCTCATGGTTCATGAGTGTCTTGGTTAACCTGGTGACTGAGGAATGTAATACTATACTATGAAGTATAGAAATCTTAAGTGTGCAGCTCAGTGAATTTTTACAAGAGTATACATTCAAGTAACCATCATCTAGTCAAAATAGGAAACATTTTATCCCCTCGCCCTGAAAAGTTCCTTTGTATCCCCCTCTTATCAGTAACCTTCACCCAAAGGGCGACGACTATTCTGACCTGTATTACCATAGAGGAGTTTCACTTGTTTCTGAACTTCGTGCAGCTAAAAATCACGGTGTATAGTCATTATTCATGTCTGGCTTCTTTCACTCAACATTTGGATTATCAATTTTATTCTTGTGGGGCTGGCAGGTAGCATGGTGGTTAAGGCTGCTGGACTCCCACATGGCCAACCATGGTTCATGTCCTGGACCTGGCAGCTTGCCTTCTCACTTTCCCTCTCTTGCTCTGTCCCTCTCTGGTCAAATTAAAAAGAAAGAAAAAGAGAGAGAGCGCTAAGTAAAATAATCCTTAAAAAAATTTATTCTTGCTAGTGCATATGGCAGTATTTGTTTCTTTTTCATTGTTGTATGATATTCCACTGTGTGTATTCCATTTATCCATCTACTGTTGATGGATTTGGACTTTTCTACATTGTGGGCTATTATGAATAAAAGTATTATGCACATGTGTACACATTTTTGGATTTATATCCAAAAGTGGATGTGTGAATCATGAGGTGTATATATATGTGTGTATATATATATTTGAGACTACAAATTTTATGGCAATTAATATTACACCTAACTTCTTTCAATTCCTCTCCACATTATCAACTTTCTTTTTCACTCATATTCTGATGGAACCAGGGTGGAAAAAGTGCCTTAGTGCATGCCTTGAATTACTTTTCTATATGATATTATATTTTTAATGCCATTGCTGTAAAAAAGAATATTTATAAATCTTTTACTGAATATTCATGACATTTAAATAGCCTCACCAGAAACTAGAGAGGAACCATTTCTGCCTATTACCATAGTCATTTTGGCTTTGCTCTGACAGCACAGTTTCTTGTTTTACTGCCGTGTCCTCCTGTTCACTCACTGGGACTGTCTGAGCATCGAGCCTACCTCTGGAATGAACTTTACCATCTGTTGGGCAGACTCTTCAGTGGTTAACTATGTTCCTGCGTAGGGTACCTTCAGTTGTTTTTGGAGGTGTGAAGTGGTAGGCTGTTATTTTGGCAGGCTTTGGTTTTTAAAACCAAATAAAAATTGGCAGCATAGCTTTTATTCTTTCCAGGGGCAAAATAAATTAAAATAGTAATTCTTCTAGATGTAAATATGCTATTCTGTTTCTTTTATAGTTTTATAAAAGATATATATGGAATTTTTAAAATACACAGAATCCTGAGCAGATAGAATAAGCACTTAAGAAACGTCTCTCCCTTCCATTTCTGTCTTCTCGCCTAGTGAAATATGTATGTATTTGTGTGTGTGAACACATATATACAGGACATAGTACAAAGCCTTACTACCTACAGTTAAGTGGAGAGAAGACTAATCTGACTGAGTGAGGAATACTTAAAGCTGACTATAATTTTCAAAGAAATTAATTTGTACTAAAATCTCAGCCAAGGAAGATAATTATGGAGAACAGACTGGAAGATAGCCAGATCACTCATTCCTATAAGCTATCTTGGTCCATTTTTGCATGACTAAAAGAGATACCTGGGACAGAGTAATTTACAAAGAAATTAGGGGTTTATCGACTCACAGTTTTGACAGCTAGACTCTGAAGGCATAGACCTAGCATAGGTTGGCCTGCACCATGGCTGCCGGAAGCACAGAGGATGGCAGGTAAGTGCATGCAGTGAGTGGGTCAGCTGCAGACAGCTCTCTCTTACCAGGTCTCACAAGAATGAACCCCTTCTCGTAAGAACGAGAACTCAGTGGGTCCTTGTGAAATAGCGTTAATCTGGTCATAAGAGTGGTGCCTCCATGATCAATCACCACCTGCTAGGCATCGCCACCTCCCAACATCAAATTCCAAATCATGAAACTTTGGGGGGGAACCCTTCCCCAAACCATAATAAGATCAGTGGCTTTTAAAACTCCAATTTATATCAGCATTATTTGGGGAAGGTTGCTAAATACTCAGGTTGTTGGGTGCTACTTTTTAGAAATGCTGATAATAGCAATTCTAGAGAAGGATACAGGAATCTGCATTTGATGAGTTTCCCTAAACAGGGACTACAGTTGCTCTAAAATCATAAGCCAGATGGGAAAAGACCTGTATACCAATTTTGTTCAAACTCCAGAATTCTGTTTACTGGATTGTTTTGAGCCTGTGTCAGTGACCTAGCCCTTAGAGTAGCACATGACATATAGTCAGCACAAAGGAAATAACTGTTGTTAGTAACAATGACATAGGTATCATCATTGTTGAGAATGATTATAAGATTATTCATATTTTGAATCAACAATTTACTAGATGAGTGACCTTTTTGGACAAGCGGCTTGAGCTATCTTATATTTTTCTCTTGTAAAAGCTACATGCCACACCAGCTAGTGGTGTGGTGGTTAAGGCAACTGGATCTCATGTCGCCAACAGCATGGTTTAAGTCCCACAACTGGCAGCTTGAAAAACATGCTAGGTGCAAGTACGTATACTTGCCCAAAATCCTGAAGCAAGTGAGAGATGGAGGAAAAGGGATTGCATTGTGACCATTGCCCATGGAAGTGCTTTCTCTCTTTTTCCCTCCCTCTCTCCCACCCTCTCACAATCCCCACCCCCTGCAAGCACACATGCACTCTGACAAAATAAAGGAATTTGCGCAGTACCCAGTATGTGGTAGGCACTCTTGTATTAGCTTCTGCCTTTACTTTATGAAGAATAATTGAAGTATAGTTTAGTAGTGAAAAGACAGATGTACCTAAGTGGCACAAACCTGATTTCCAACCCTATGTCTGAACAGTGCTGGGAAAGCTCATTAAACTCCCTCAGCCTCAATGTCTTCATCTGTAAGATGGGAATACCTAGGCTGCAGGGCAATTTTGAGAATTCAGGTTTAACACACAGCATAATTTCTGATACATAAATCATAGCTGCTGTTATTTTTTTAATTTCTTTGTAGAGTCGTAGGGGCCAAAGTTGAAATCCCTCCTTCATGATTTAACTTCGCAACTTTGGGCAAGTTTTCTAGGTTTTGCTTTTTTCCCCCCTTGATTTCTTCACCTGTGAAGTGGGGATAAAGATGTCACGTGTATAAAGCACTTAGTGTAGTCCCCAGACCATGCAAATTGCTCAGTAAGTGAGCCTTTAGTTGAGTAGCAGTTTGCATGTGTTTATTTCTTTGAGTTGTTCATTTCATCAGGGTGCTCTGTTAATGAAATGGAAATGGAGAATCTGAATTACATGTGGACGCATGTGGACTCTTCAGCCATGCCCAAACTCCCCTCAAGCAGGAGAGGGACTGGGTTGAGAAGTGCGGATGCTTCCCCACCACTAGAAAAACAATTCAGGGCTGCCAAGGGCCCCTCGCCTCTCTCTCTTTCTCTCTCTTTTTTTTTAAATATATATATATATATATATATTTATTTCCTTTTTAATGATAGAGCACCCGTGTGTGTGTGCCTGACAGAGAAAACGAGAGAGAGAGAGCACCTTTCACATATTGTGGTCTTGCTGTAATCCCCTTCCTCCAGTCCTCCAGCTCATTGAATCCTGGGCACATGTAAGATGAGTGTGGTGGGGAGAGGGTATTTCAGATTGACCAGACCAAAGATTCAAGTGCAGTCTCCTGAGATCTAGCTTCTCTTGGGCAGCAAATTACTGCTGCATCATGGAGGGACCCAGATTTTACTACAAAGTATCATCTTTTTTCCAGAGATGGCAGTTGATGTTAGTAAGAGTTTTGATGTAACAAATTAACTGGACCAAAAAAAAATGATTTTATTAACAGTCTCACTTCTGTCATTATTTCTAAATACTTCTTTAAACAAAGAAAGTTTGTTTCTCAACAGTGTAGTTGATACAATGTTGCCTTTCTGCATGTGCGATAAATTTAGTGTTTTAGTTATTTGGAACTCTCTGGGAGTTATACTAATAGGGACTACGTTAATGATTTTAATCATCAGGCAAATACTAAATATAGAAACCTGGAAATTTGGGGAAATAAAACCAAGAGTTTTAAAGTTTTTGAGTGGTATAAATAGTGGTCAAAATCTTGTGCATCTTCACCAAGACTAATCAGGTTTTTTTTGTTATTGTTCTAGAGCATATTTTAAATGCTCTTGTGCAAGAACAAACCATTGACACTTAGGATCAAATCCCATTTTAATTTAAAAGTTCCATATAATGTATATTTTTAGATGGATCTTTAACTCTTATTCTTAATGCTTCATACTGTATAGCACTTTTTAAAATTCCCATTGTTCCTGAAGATTAAAGACTTGAGACATTTCACAATCAGCTAAAATGTAGCCTTAAAGACTCATAAAATGCAAATACAGAAAACTAAAGTTTGTTTTTACAGCTGGTAAGACTTCAGAGCCATAGCCTATTTAATTAAAGTTTTTAAACAAGAACACTGTACTTAGTTGGTAGTTAAAGCGCTTTATCAATAGGGCCCAAATACTTGATTTAAACTAGCAGGACCATATTAATTACATGAGATGCATAGAGGGAGTCTACACTCATGCATATTTACAACACAGTTTATATAATTCATTCAGTTTGGATTTGGAATTACACAGTTCTTTACTAAGTTCCTTCCTTCCTTCCTTCCTCCTTCCCTCCCACCTTCCCTTTTCTCCTTTTCTTCCTCCTGAAAGAGAGAGAGGTCCCCTTGACAGAGTTTCACCACACCACCACCCTCTCCCCAGCCTCCCAGCTAGCCAGGATGACAGAGGTAGTGGAGAAGTAGGACTTTACTACCTGTTGCCACCATGACTGGGCCTGGGATTTTAGCTTTTTATTACATTTTATCCTAGCTGCTTTTTTTTTTTTAGAGAGACTTGCTAAAGGGTATGTGTGCTTGCCAGAGAGATAGTGGCAGAAAGTGAGAAGTGAGAAATCACCCCCCCCCCCGGGAGGGGGCAGCCATGCTGCAGTCCCTTCTCTGCCATTCCCCTCTTGAGATTTTTCGGCATGCACACATGCCTGGCATGAGTTTGAAGCAAAGGACTCAAACCGGGGTTGGCCATGTGGGAGTCCATCGTGCCGCCTGCTGGTCCCATATCCTAGGTGACATTTTAAAATAAAATATAATCAAAGTAAGGATTAAAGGTACTCTAAGTGATATGACATCATAAATCTCAAATTTGTAGTATATATAGTTCAACTTAAGAATTTTACGTAACTTTGGATACTCTCTCTTCTTTATCATTCTGTTTATTTAAGCTTATTTGTAAAGTAAAATTAGGCTAACATGGAACTAAAACCCAGAGTCCTTTTAGCCAATGTTTGAAATAACACAAGACTTCTATAGGACAGATATCAGGGGTCCCAGGCTGCATCAAGTTAGTTACACACAAAGAGGATAACAATGACCTGCAGCTGTGTTCTCCCAGTGGCATTGGTGGGTTTACACTGACACATTTTTTCCTAACTAGCTGCATGGTACATTTGTAAACTGATTTGCTCAGTAAATCAGAGGATAATCTGTACTCATGGAGAACAAAGAGGAAGAGCCTGCAGAGAATCAGATTCCTGGCCTTCATTTACCAAACATTTACTGAATGCCTACTGTTCATCCTGAATTTTAAAAGTAAGACACCCGTCCTGCTTCGTTAAGTGTCTGGTGCTTCTACATAGCTCAGGTGGTGTCACGCCGGCCTCACATGTCTTCTGCTCTTCCCAGTGGGCGTTTCAGGTTGGTTACCCTTTCATAATGAATGTGAAAAATGACCAGGAAATTCATTTTTCTTTCTGTAATTGGGATTATCACCAGTTCTGAATGGTTTGGTCTTCCGTTTTCAAGGGATCTCAGCATGTTTTTATTTTCCCAATCTGAGTTTCATACTATGGTAGGGTAAAAAGGCCATTCATTCAGAGCTAACTAATTTAGATTTTATAGTAATTTACACAGACATTGTCATCATTTTTGTTGAACACACAATATGAAAACTAATGGTACCAGTGAGAGAGGAAGTGCATATGTAATATATAGAGCTATAATGATAAACTACGTTGCACATATTTTAATATGTATATATAAAAATACTTGAATACACAGATAAGTTGTAAGTTGCTGCTTCTGCCGGTATTAACTGCATGACTTTAAGGGTTCTGAATGTTATCTTCTATAAAATGAAAAAACTGACCTGGGTGGTCCCTTACAGTTAGTCCTCTCACTAATAAGCCTTGGTGATTCTGAGTTCAGCAAGTCAGACTCAGCAGAATGACTGCCCTGCCCCAGACACTTTATTAAACATCGAGAAAGAATTAAAATGGTATCTCTTAACCATTTAAGAGTCCAGCTTGTGATGTTGCGAATCACGTATCCCCAGAGTTCCAAGTTAGCATTGACTGTCTCTGAGTTGCACTAGGGCTGCAGCAGGAGGCCGGTTCAGGTACTCAGAGGGTATTAGATAATAACAGTGACTGAGTAAAATGAATAAAGGAAAGCTAGGTAGTCACTGCACAGTAGATGAATCATCTCATTGGATTATCAAGAGGAAAACTGGAAAGATACGTGCCATGAACAGACATTTCTCAAAAGGAGATAGACAGATGGCCGAGAGACACACGGACAAAGCTCAGCATCCCTAGCCTCGAGGAGATACTACCTTATACCTATTGGAATGGCCGCTATTACAAAGAAAAAAGATAAATATTGACAAAGATATGGAGAAAACAGAATCCTTGGACACTGTTCAGGGGATGGGAATTAATACAACCCTTAAAGGAAAACAGTAAGATTGCTCCAAAAATTAAAAACACTGTGTTGTTGGATAAGTCATGACTCATTTTTGCATATAGAAATGTCGAAAGAATATGCCACGACTTTGCCGACAACTCAATAGAACCACAAATGATCTAGCAAGTACATGGGGGGTATGTGCCAAAAGAAAATGAAATCACTGTGCCAAAGATAGAGCTATATTTCCTTATTTATTGCAGCATTACTAACAATAGTCAAGATAGGGAATCAACCTCAGTGTCCATCAACAGATAAATAAGTAAATAAAATGTATGTATATGTATGCATATACACATATGCACAGTGATACTCTTCAGCCTTTAAAAAAAAATCTCAATTCATAGAAGCAGTGAGTAGATCAATGATTATCAGAGACTGGAAGTGTGGGGGACTTGGATTTGGAGATTTTGGTCAGAGAGTACAAAATTTCAATTAGATAGGAAGCTCTATTGTACAACATAGTGACTGAATTTAATAATAATGTATATTCAAAAATATATACAGAGAGTAGATCTTAAGTGTTTTCATCACAAAAAGATATATATGTAAAATAATGCATATGTTAATGAGCTCTGTTTAGTTGTTTTACAATGTATACATATGTTAAAACATTTTATAAATATCTATAAAACTTATTATTTATTTTTAAAAAGAGAAAATTTTAAAAAGAAATGAGTACTTTCGGTAATCTGTGTAGGCTCGGATCTATTCTTCTGAAATATATATCATGCACCATGGCTTGAGAGCCTTGTCTATGTGTCTTAAGATTTATGAGTCTTGTGCAAGATTACATTGGTACTTTATTACCATGTTGTAAAAACTGGTATTGTGATGATCATTACTAAAATACAGCTAGCTGCAGGGTAACGTGATGTTCATAAACCAACAGTCATTTTTTTAATGTCAGCTTGTCTTTTTAAGGCGTGTATTTAAGATGCAATAAATAGCCTAATTGTGGCTCATTTGTGGACTTAGTTGAATTGTTATCTCAAGCCATGCGTTTTCCCCTTACAGGTTAAAATTCTGTGTCACCAGTTGCTGGTCCAGGTGTGTGACCTGCTCAGGCTAAAGGACTGTCACCTCTTTGGACTGAGTGTTATACAAAGTAAGTCTTAATCCCATTTATGATGGATATCCCCAACTATCTCTGAGGACCTGACATTTTAGAGTTGTAACTTAAGTCAGGCATGTTGTTATAAAACTGTGATTGTCAAAAGACTCAAACTGATCTTCATTTTTCAGTTTAATACATTAAAAAGTGTGAGTCATGTATTTTGAACTTAAAAGTTGATTCCTCTTTAGGAATATAGATGATGTGCATTTGTTCTTTTATATGTTAATGAACCAATCTTGATTTTTGTTTCCTTTTAGTCAGGTAGTAGCTGCAGTTAGCAGGAAAGTATCCCAGATATTAGTGTAACTTAATTTATTTTATAATAATTGCATTAAACTGACTTTCCTCTGTTCAAATTCTGTTATTATGGACTATATAATATAGCATTGTGATCTACTAATGTAATCTTGTTTTCTGCTTTTCTCTTTTGTCTTCTCTGTTTTCTAGTCAGACTTGAGAACTTGGCACTGTAGGCTCAGTTTCATCTGTATTCACAGGGAAAGGATTTTTCAAGTGAAGGACTCCATAGAAGCTTTCTTTTCCCATTCAAGTTAAATTCTCAGGACTTACCTGTAACCCCTCCTTATAAACTTTCGTCTTTCAAACTATACTTGAAAATTTCTCTAATCTGCAACATGCTGAAAAAACTTTTATATCTTTGCTTATTTTGTCAAGACTTTTGGTGAAATATATTTAAGTGTATTTTATTCTTGGATGTGCATTATTTTCTACTGTTGGAAGTGGTTTAAATTGAAAGGCTTAAGATACCTCAAAAATCCAATCAACACTGTAAAATGCTTCCATCTGTCAAGTTGGAAAGTGTATCATGGTCAGCCAATAAATGAGGCCCTTTGTCCTTCAAAATATGTGCTGTTTCCAGTTGTCTTTTTAGGAGAGGGAAGGGCATGGAGAACAGGGACACACCAGGACCCTATGAACCAGCCATTTGCTCTTCAATTTCTTCCTGTGGTGGTGAAAGCAATAAAAACATAAATGCTAACTCCATCTTAGTGTCATTCTTCTAAGGAAGGATCTAGAAGCAGGAAGACGCCCTATCAACTCCAAGAAATTTATTCTATTTGGGGTTACTCTTACTACAAGCTAACTGTAGATCTCTGTTGTTCAACAAGTCAGTCCAATAAAACCTGTTTACAGCTTCCTGAGATTTCAAAATAAGAGCTTTTAAGATACTCTTTTTAAAAGAGAGATTGCAGAGTGGTGAAAGAAACATCGAGACAGAAGTCAGATGACCTGGTTCTAATTCTAGTTCTACCACTAACTAGCAGTGCGGCTTTGGACACACCACTTGACTTCTCTTAACGCCATTTTTTTTTCACACATCAAATGTAAATTACTACTTCACAAGCTTTGCAGGATAGATGTGCACTTGAGAATTCTTAAGGTATAAAGAAAGCTGTGTTCAAACTATAGGTGGTGAAGATAGAATGGCAACTTAAAAATATACATGTACTAGTAGGTTGAACAGCAAGTTTATTCTTGATACTTTTTCTGATGGGAACTCAAGCCAAACACAAGTCAGATTCAACAGGAAGTTTGTCTAATTTTGTCCATTTTGTGCTTAATCAGAGTATGAGAGCTGGGAGATTGTGTTAGTTGACCTGATAACTGGATTTAAATAACATCCCCTTTTTTGTCTCTGGGACTTTTTGCTAATTCAAGGAAGTCGATTTAGTATCCCATGTATAGCCAAGAAGTGACTTTACTCTTTCTAGTCAAAGAGACATACTTTTCTTCTAGAATGAATGTTTTTTTTTTTTTATGCAGAACTTACTACCAAGATATCCATGAGATAGAGAAAAAGGAATGCATTAAATGAGTTTTTCAAAAAAGATGTAAAATTTTATACAAGATAGGAATGCTAAAGGCCTCTCCTGTGAAGTATGTCCCTCTTTTAAAAGATTCTCTTTGAGGCACCAGCAGATGGTGTAATCATTGTGTCACTGGACTCTCACATAGTCTACAGCAGTTCAAGTCTCGGACCCGGCAGCTTAAAACTCACACCGGGCGTGTGTGTACGTGTGTGTGTGCACCCAAAATCCCAAAAAGAGAAGGAATTGTGGTGTGACCATTCCCCCTGGAGGGTGATTTCTCACTTTCTGACTTTCTGTCTCTCTCTCTGTCTCTGGCAAGCATAAGCACCCTACAACAAAAATCTCTCTCTCTCTCTCTCTCTCAAAAAAAAAAAAAAAAAGATTCTCTTTGAGATATCTGAAGTTTCGTTTGTTTGTTTTAGATTTTTGCCATAGGATGCGTGTGCTCACAAGAGAGAGACAGTGAGAAGAAAAGTGAGAAATCACCCCCATAGAGGGGTAGCCATGCTGTAATCCTTTCTCCTCTATTCTCCTGGGATTTGGGGCATCTATGTACACATTCCCAGCATGAGTCTTAAGCCGCTGGATCCAGGACTCAGACCGCAGTTGGTCACGTGGGAGTCCATTGCCTTTACTGTTACACTGCTTGTTGGCTCCCTGAAATTTTGTGGTTTTCTGTTTGTTTTCACACGTGTTGATCATCTTTACACAGGCTTTAGCCATCTTATTTTCTGTTTACCTTATAAATATCAGCCCTTTGGAGGAATATTTTAGTATTCATGCTTATTTTTCATACGGTTCTGCTCCATCTCAAAGGCAGTACAGGTAATGGATTATCATTTGGTTATGCTGTATCTTGATGTGGGAAACAGAAAAAGACTAGTCTTAAATACTGTTCTTCATGAAGTGGATCAGGCTCCTCCCTTGGAAATGGGCTGTTATCATCAGTGTTTTCTCATTTCTTACGTAGCAGTTAAGGGGTGCTTAGACCACAATTTATAATGGCCCTAGAAACTAAGAAAAACCAGGGACTGGAAACTAACATTTCTTTTAAATATTACATAGTTTAAATGTTACATGTTCTGTATTGCAAAAGCAAGATAAATCCACAAAAAATCTTATTGCTGTCTAGCCCATCGGACCATTTATCCTTTAGTATCTTCTTGAGTTTTCTTGGTAGTATATAAATTGGCAGTATGTTGACAAAGTTTGAGACTTTAAAAAAAAACACCTTCTTTGTATATTTCTTTGAAAAATCTATCCCTTGTTTAGCATCTTGTCTTCTTTTTTTTAATGTGCAGATAATGAACATGTATATATGGAGTTGTCACAAAAGCTTTATAAGTATTGTCCAAAAGAATGGAAGAAAGAGGCCAGCAAGGTACGACAATACGAAGTCACTTGGGTGAGATTGCGTTTATAAGCAAAATTATTTTGATTTTAAAAATGTTTATTTTAATTGTTAGACATTAGAAAAAGTCTTAAGCAATACTTTATACCGTGGAGAACAGGCAATGAATGCTAAGTTCTAAAATGTTATGTTAATCAAGTATAACTAACATAAACTCTGTAACAATAAATTCTGAATATCTGTTAAATGCTGTTGGATAACTTTTTAGTCATTTTGGGATAATGCTTTGAAGTGGAAAGCATGAAAACCTTGTTCCTCTCCTATGGCTATGTTAGTGGTCAAAACTGGTATTCTAGCATTATTAGTGATTTTTAAATCTACTTATACTGTATTCGCCTTGAAAGTGTGTTATTTTACTGTACTGGTGCCTTTATTTAGTAAACACCAATCCCATTATGTGGGAGAGCATTCACAGGGAATTCACCTAGTGTTTCCAGGATCACCCTACTCAGTCAGGAATAAAATGCCAGAGTGTAATCTTAAATCCTCCAATTTGTATTTAAGAATTCTTAGCATAAACTGGAAAGCTACTTCGAAGCCAACTACAAAGTGGAGAACATGAATGGCTAAACAAACAAACAGCATATTAGAATTTGGTATGTGGAATGTCAGAGGAACAAGGGAACATTTGTAATAAGGAGCAAATGGTCACCACAGGGGACAGAGTTGAGCGAGGAGCTGGATCTCAGCTAGAAATTTCCATGGCGTTTATTTTTATCTTCCCTTATGTTGTCGTTGGCATGACAGTGAATGAGAATCAGACAGTGGGATGGTGCCCTGTTTTGCTTTGTAACTTTCTGGTTTTATATAACCCTGGTATCTATAAGGGGCAACCATCTTCTCCCACTTATTACAAGGAGATAAACCTTTCAGTGTTGAAAAAGTATCTTGCAAAGAATGGTATTTGGATTGCTTTTGAAACCCACTTTTGAAGTAACTAAAAGCAACTTGATTTGTGTGTGTCTTTGATTTAGGGTATCGACCAGTTTGGGCCTCCTATGATCATCCACTTCCGTGTGCAGTACTACGTGGAAAATGGCAAGTTGATCAGGTATGAGGACAGGGAGCGAGTCTTTATTTCCCCACAGTGCTTCTTTTAACATATCAAAGAAGTTATTCATGTTTATTGTTCTCTCTTCCTGTTAGAAAATAAACTCTACAAAAGCAGCAATTTGCTTTTTAATCTTTTTTAAAAGAATTTTTTTAAGAGTTTTTTTGCTATATAGGGTGCACCAGAAAGACAGAGACAGAGAGCTAGAAAGCGAGAAATCACCCCAAGGGGGATGGCCATGCCACAGTCCCTTCTCCTCTCAGGATCTTGGGCACGCACGCACACGCGCCCCGTGTGACTTTAAGCCACCAGGTCCAGGACTCGAACTGCAATTGACTACGTGGGAGTCCAGCAACATAGCCATTATACCAACTGCTGGTCCCCCTAAAGGAATTATTTTTATTTAATTTTATTTATTCATTCATTTTATTTTTTTAAAATTTGACCAGAGAGAGAAAGCAAGCCTCCAGGTCCAGGACTCTACTCTAACTGTGGTCAGCCATGTGGGAGTGCCCGGCACCTTAACCACCACGCCACCTGCTGGTCCCCCTGCTTTTTAATCTTTTCGCACACTCATGTATCCTCAGTCCCCTAGAGGTACAGTAGATAACTCGTAAGTAATTGTTGAGTAATTGAATGATAGTTAGATTATTGATGAAAGTGTTCATTTCACTCTCATTTTCTCTACTTCCCATTTTCAAAAATAGATCAGTCTCCCAAAAGATACATTTTCCGAAAAAGAGCTACCACTTTTATAAAGAGTGGAGACAGTGATTAATAGATTATGTTCTTTTCCAGTGATTGGCTAGAGAGTGGGGCAAGGACAAAAATTCTTCTGTAAAAGTGCATGAATGTTTTTATAGCCTGGTTTTCTTTTCACATTTGGGATCTTGCTTGTATTTTTGGCTATAGCTTTTAAAGCTAGCATTAAGTCCAACAGAGCTTTCCTGTGAGAATTTTAGATGCAGTTTGACAAGGGCAGTTAATTGATCTTTTTCTGGAGGGGAGTGCATGGATAATACTGCAATCATAAAACAGATTCCAAATTCACCATTATAGAAGCTCAGTTAGTTGTTTACAGGGGAGGATTCGGTGCTAGAACACTTTTAAAGAAGATGTCTTAGTGATAGAAAATACTAGAAACACGAACTCTGTGTTTAACTTACATTTATAAATCTCGGAAAATCCCATGTGAATGAAATAGAAAGATAAATTTGTCTATTGAGTTATATGGTAAGTTTGCTCTTGGTATTTATATCATTACTAGCTGCAAATTAAGAAAAAAAAATTAATCCATAAGAGTTTTTCTTAAAGGCTGAGAAATGTTATTAGTTATTCTCAGCTTATATAAAATTTTCCATCTGTTTTACCTGGTAAATGTGGAATGCCCTGGAAAAAAGGAACATGTATTATTACTGTTGTTATTTGGTGACTAATGAACCCCCTGGGGCCAATAATGATTTAGTTCATCCCTATCTCTGCCCCTTCCCCCAGGGACGAACTAGTCCCAACAGTGTATGGTCAGTATTATAAAAAATGTGCTCTGAAAAATATCCTGTCCTGAGGGAAACAAATTACATAACTGCTTTATTTTTAAGCTCTTCATTCTTAAGCATGTTCTTGGTTAAAATAAACCCATATATTTTTATTATCGTCTCCTAAAGAGCTATGACTCTCAGGTAGACAATCAACCTAATATTACAGGGAAGCAAATAAGCTCTTTAAAATACATACACACACTTTTTTTATTTCCCTTGTAGTTTTACTTGGATGACCAAAGCATCCTCTGCCAGTGGACATTTTCTTGGAGCTTTGACCATGGCTTTCCCCAGTCAGCACTTCTTTCTCTAAGTGTTTAATGGGGACCGTATTCATTTCTGACCTCAGTGGATTGTAATGAGTGCTCTATTAATATTTCCTTTTGCAAGGAGTAGCATGAGTGTCATGACATGTCCCTATAAAAGTACACCCATGAAGTAACAGCCACTTAGTAAAAAAAATAAATAAATAAAATAAAAAGTAGATTTAAGGAAAGGTGTGAGTTCATTCATTCTTAGGGAAATAATAATAAAAAAAGAACCCTATAGTCCAGCAGTTTTTTTCCAGAACAGGATATAAACAGAAATGTTTTTAAAAGGCCCTCAGAGTATCTGTAGGGTGCTCAGCTCAAAACAAAACAAAATAAAAACAAACAAAACAGTGAAGCCCGAGTTGCCTGTTAGATTGGCCCTTACTTGTGCCACGCTGCAGCATCGTTGTAGGAAAACAACTTCAGTATCAAAAACAAATGCCTGCACTTCTATTCTAATACTTGTTCAGTAAAATACCTACCGGAAAGGAGCGGGATGTTTCAGACCTTTCCCACGGAATGAATCAAATGTTGTGAGCCTTAGGAAATGTTATTTTTGCTGTCTGGCTAGTCTGACTTGGGGTTCAGACCCCCTGGAACCCTCCCCCTTTTCAGTGAGATGGGAGGAGCAGAAAGGGAAGGGCCCCTGTCACCAGAGAGAGGGCAGGATTTAGTTCTGTTTACATGTCCTTGGGTCCGTCAAAATGTGAGTGCTGTGTTCTTTTATTTTCCTAGTGACAGAGCAGCAAGATACTATTATTACTGGCACCTGAGAAAACAAGTCCTTCATTCTCAGTGTGTGCTCCGTGAGGAGGCCTACTTCCTGCTGGCAGCCTTCGCCCTGCAGGCTGATCTTGGGAACTTCAAAAGGAAGGAGCACTATGGAAAATACTTCGAGCCAGAGGCCTACTTCCCATCCTGGGTAGGTACCATTTTCAAATTCTAAGGGATGCTTATTCCAGCACACTCCTAGTTCACTGCACGACTTCAAATAATGGGAGTCCAGACCTCAGTGGCTAGCGAAACCCTCCCCGTTGCCCACGGAGAAACCTAACCTTTGAGAGTGTCATGTGCAGATGTCTCGATGTACTTGGTCTGCTTAGAGTGAATGTAGGGGAAAGGCTCGCTCTCCGTCTTAAATGTGGTGGAACTTGGACCTCCTCAGCCTCTTTTTGACATTTGACCATCAACTCTTATCCTTAGCAGAGCATCATTTTCCTTGAAGGGAGAAAAACATTACTCTTCAAAAGGTGAAAGGTGGGTCAGCCAGGTGGCATGGTGATTAAGGTGCCTGGATCCCACATGGCTGACTGCACAATTCAAATCCCGGACCTGTGGCTTGAAAAATATGCCAGACACATGGGCATGCATGCCCAAAATCCCCAGAGGAAAATGGAGGAGAAGGGATTGCAATGTGGTCCTCTCTCTTGAGGGATGGTTTCTTGCTTTCCCTTTCTCTCTCTCTTCTCTCTCTCTGTCTCTGTCTCTCTCTCTCTGACAAGCACATATGCCCTATAGCAAAAACTGAAATAAGTGAATGTTGAAAGGTGATATCATTCACAGCTTTACCTGTGCTGAGAAAACAAATATAAGTCCCCTTCTTGCTCTGACCTTCATGTCTTCACTCCCAGGAGGAGAGCCACCCCCTTACATCCCCAGGAAATTTAGGTTACCTCGCAGGCGGGGTCTCGGTTACCTTTCTCCACCCCATCCTGTCCGTGCCTTGTCCCGCCCTTCCTCTGGGTGTTTGCTGTGCTACTCTCTCTTATGTATCATTAGCTTTTCCTGAAACTAAACCTTCAAAACATGTTTGGTTCTCACCCATTAGTTGTTGGGAAGGAAAGCAAGCAGATCTACTGCTTTCGCCTTTCCTTCTCAGTAAAGCATCTTGAGAAAGTAGTGTGTATTTTGGTTTTTTAGCTTTTCTTCCCACTGTGTTCCTCGGGCCACTTCCGTGTGCCGTCTTTCCCCCCAAGTCCTTGCACACTGGTGACCTTTGTATTTCCTCCCCAGTGGGCATTTTTCTCTGCTTCTCCTGAATTTCATGCTGCATTTGACACTTACCCACTCACATCTTGGGAGATCTCAGCCCAAGTCATACTTGTAGCAATCACTGACAGGCTGGCAACTCGCAAATCCATTTCTCTCCTTGTGTCCGTGAGGTAGCTGTTTGCCCATAGGCACCTCAAGCTCAAGATGGCCAAGATAAATGAATCTTTTTCCCACCTCAAGTCTGTCTTCCTCCTTTTGTCTTTCTAGCCTCAACTAGTAACACTGCCACCCTCTCTGCCGCCTAGAAACTTCAGAGTTCGTACGGAACTTTCCTTCCTTATAAGTCTCTTTCCC